CACATTGACATGTTAACATTAACATTAATAGGAGTGTAAAATTTGTCCGCAACCTGAAGCTTGCCCGCGGCCCGGGGTAGGCCCGGCCTAACCCATTGACAATGTTAACATGCACATTGATAGGAATGTAGAATTGGGCCGCGGTCCGTGGGCTGCCCGAAGCCTGCCCACGGCCTGGGACAGGCTCGTTTGGGTCTGGGCCCGAGCCGGTGGGTCAAACCTCAGGTCAGGCTGATGGGCCTGGGCCTAGCCTCAGGCTTGGGTCGGGCTTGGGCGGGCCTGGCCATTTTTTTTTAATTCTTTTTAATTTTTTCTACCAAAATTTTATTATTTTTCACAAAAAAAGACACAAGGCCTTGGCGCGAGCCGGGCCTCAGATCAAGCCTTGAATGGGCCTTTAACCGGGCCGATGGGTCGGGTTAGGCTTCAAAGTGATGGCCCAGGCCCTAGCTTAGGGTCTCGGACTAGGCTCGAGCCCGGGTCCAAACGAGCCTTTCTCGGGCCGCGGGCGGGTTTCGGGCAGCCTACGTTCTTTTTTACTATTCCATTAAGTCCTATTTGAGGTAAGAAGACCAAAATACAATTTTCATCTACTTATATTCTATTTAGTCCACATTATTTTCTTATGCTTCAATAAGTCCTATGAGAGACATAATTACCAAAATACCCATAATGTGAATGCTCACATCGTCAATGTGAATGTTCATATTATCAATGCGTAAAGGCTCGGGCCGGCCCATATCGAGCCTCGTGGGTGTCCGAAAAAATTCGGGTCAGCCCGGTCCGGCCCACGGGCCAAAAAATTAAGCCCAGGCCCTAGCCCTGGCACAAGGGTATTCGGGCTTTGGACGGGTCAATGGATCGAGCCTCTGGTTGGGGCGGTGGGCTTGGGCCTAGCCTCGAGCTTAGGTCGGGCTTGGGCGGGCCTGGCCATTTTTTTTTTAATTCATTTTAATTTTCTCTACCAAAATTTTATTATTTTCTACAAAAAAAGACATTGTGCCTCGGGCGGGCTGGGCCTTGGACCGAGCCTTGAATGGGCCTTAAGCGGGCTGATGGGCGGGGCCGGGCTTCAAAGTGATGGCCTAAGCCCTAGCCTAGGGTCTCGGATATGCTCGGGCCCAGACCCAAATGAGCCTATCTTGGGCCGTGGGCGGGCTTCGGGCAGCCCACGATCCGCGGGCCAATTCCATATTCCTATTAATGTGCATGTTAACATGTCAATGTGAATATTCACATTGTCAACTGGCAGGGTCGGGCCTACCCCGGGCTGCAGGCAAGCTTCGGGCAGCAGGCAAATTTTACACTCCTATCAATGTTAATGTTAACATATCAATGTGAATATTCACATTGTCACGGGTCGGGCCAAGCCCGCCTAGGGCTGCGGTCGGGCTTCGGGCAGCCCATGGGGTGCGAGCCAATTTTACACTCTTATCAATGTAAATGTTAACATGTCAATGTGAATATTTATATTGTCAATAGGCCGGGCCGGGCCCGCCTCGGGCCGTGGGCTGGTTTTGAGCAGCCACGAGGCACGGACTAATTTTAAACTCCTATCAATGTGAATGTTAACATGTCAATGTGAATATTCACATTGTCAACGGGCCGAGCCGGGCCCGCCCTAGGCCGCGGGCGGGCTTTTGGCTGCTCATGGGCCGCGGGCCAATTTTATACTCTTATCAATGTGAATGTTAACATGTCAATGTGAATATTCACATTGTCAACGACCTGGGCCGGGCCCGCCCCGGGCCGCGGACGGGCTTTTGGCTGCCCATGGGTCGCGGGCCAATTTTATACTCTTATCAATGTGAATGTTAACATGTCAATGTGAATATTCATATTGTCAACGGGCCGCCCTGGGCCGCTCATGGGTCGTGGGTGGGTTTTGCGCGCGCCACGGGACGTGGGCCAATTTTACACTCCTATTAATGTGAATGTTAACATGTCAATATGAATATTCACATTGTCAACGGGCCGAGCCAATTTTATACTCTTGTCAATGTGAATGTTAACATGCCAATGTTAATATTTCCATTGTTAACAGGCCGGGCCGGGCTCGCCCCGGGCTGCCCACGGGCCGTGGGCGGGTTTCGGGCAGCCACGAGGTGTAGGCTAATTTTAAACCCCTGTCAATCTGAATGTTCACATTGTCAACGGGCCGGGCCCACCCCGGGCCACGGGCGGGCTTTTGGCTGTCCATGGGCCGCAGATGAATTTTATACTCTTATCAATGTGAATGTTAACATGTTAATGTAAATATTCACATTGTCAACGGGCCGCGCCATGGGTCGTGGGCGGGTTTCGCGCCGCCACGAGACGCGAGCCAATTTTACACTCCTATTAATGTGAATGTTAACATGTCAATGTGAATATTCACATTCCTGGCCCAACTCGAATTTTTCCGGGCACCTACGAGGATCGACATGGGCCGGGCCCTTACACATTGACGATATGAATATTCACATTGACGGTGTGAACATTCACATTAGGGGTATTTTGGTAATTATGTCACCCATAGGACTTATTGAAACATAAGAAAATAATGTGAACTAAATGGAACATAAGTAGATGAAAAGGGTATTTTAGTCTTCTTATCTCAAATAAGACCTAATGGAATAGTCAAAAAGAATATAGGTTGGATGGAATAAAGATCTTAGAAAGTGAATTTATCAAAAAAGCTTCCTTATTTAAAAGAGAAAAATAAAATCAAAATTTATTTTGTCCCATTATTTCTTACCTAACTTTTATCCTAAATGTTGTTAGAATGTATTTAATATTTGATTAAATCAGAGATTCAAGCAGCCCAAAAACAGAAATTCAAACAGCCCAGCACAACAGCAGTTCAAAAGGTTCAAGTGAAAGATATTCAAATTTGTAATGATGGCGTGGAATATATTCAAATTAATAATGATGGAGTACAACGGCTATAAATTCAAATTAATACAAATTTGTAATGATAGAGTAAAAGATATTCAAATTAGTAATGATGGAATACAACGACTATAAACGGCTATAAATTCAAATGAATACAACGGCTATAAATGGTTATAAATTCAAATGAATACAACAGCTATAAATTTCATTATATATACCAAAGCTTCTAATGTAAACAAGTTACAAAAAAAAAAAAACAGAAAATATTATTTGATTTATAATCACTCACATCCATTCTCTGAGGAGTGTTCTTCAATTTTTATTTACATCCTCTTTCAGAAATTATACATTGAGACGTATAGCTTTAAGCCCATCTTTTGTGTGTGAGGTTTATAGAAAAACCAGAGCTTCCTTTTTATATCTATCTTTGAGAGATAATTTTTGTAACTTTCTGTACGGGGAGCAAATATTCAGGCGTGCCCGTATTCCTTTCTTCCGAGCTCCGTCGATATCCGATCACCTGCGGGCAAATAACGGTGAGCTACCCGGCGGTGTGTGGCCGGAAAAACCCTCCGACGGTCAAGTTAGCACACACCTTAGAGGGAATAGAGAGAAGGGAGAGAGTGTTTGAGTGTAAGAAATCCTTACAGATGTGTTCGTCCGTCCAGTATGGGGGGCGCAGGCATGCTTTTATACCTTCTGAGCCCCATATCCACTCCCAGTCATCTCCTGACACGTGGTTCTGCTATCCCATCTGTCAGCATAAACCATGCCGAACATCACCTAATCTCAACTGCCTGCCTTCACAGCTGGAGCTCGGCAGCCGAGCTGCCCTACCCCGGTCGTACCATGCTTCATACCTTAAGCGCCTAACCGGATAAACAAATGAAGGACCGGGCTAGGCGGCATCTCGGCAAAGCTTAGCCCGTCTAAAATCATTTTGGTCAAAATGTTTTGGTCCACAAATGGGGTGTGAGGTTTGGGATTTAGAGCGCCTCTTGCCGAAGAAATTGAACCTTTGCACTGCATAGCCTGCACCATCGAGTAAGCAATCAGTGGCACCCAAGTCTTAAGGACGGTAAAAAATGGGGTGTCTATACTAACCACCACTTGAGTTGTGAATACAGACTTACAGCTTCTTTGATCAAGTGATAGATCTTGGATGAAAGGCTACTCGAGTGCTAAAATCAATGTTCTATGACTTTTGCTCAATCAGGAGAAACTGAAAGGTTGTGATGACCGCTCAGGCAGTCTCAGTTAGTAAGCACACCCAAGAGGCTAGGCAACTTTCACTTGGCTTCCCACATTGCCATCAAGTTGCTCCATCCCTTGTTCTAACCGATCTTGCTGCTCCGTGACATCGGCCACGGCCACTTCCACCTTGACCACTCGGGTCTCCATGTCTCTCTCTCTCTCTCTCTCTCTCTGTGTTTGCAAGCTTAACTTTCTTTTTCTTTTTTTTGGGTATGTAAAAATAATGAAGAAGACACTGAATGGGCTGCCACCTGAGTACAAAAGTATATTGACAAAAAGCAACAAAGCCCTATCTGCATGAAGCAAAAGGACCCTACAAAATCCTAATTATGTTCTGTTCTGTGGTCAGGTTGATGATACCCCAAAATTCTCATAAATTTACTGTTTAGACTAAAAGAAGTCTACATCAAATGACCTTCCCATTCATTGTCCCCAAGTAATCCACATAACCCAAAGAACTGCTAAATTCCAAGCCTTCTTACTCTTTCTCACTTCCAATTATGAATAAAGTTAGTCAATGATGAAGGCAATCTTAACTTTATGACTTGATTTGCTTTGTTTTAAAGTCTTACCCCGATTTCCCCCAATTTCGATACCCACTTTCCTCCTCCTCCTCATCTAACTTCATCATCAACAACAACAACCCATCTCCCAAAGCCCTCTACAAAATCGGGTAACGATCGCTCTCTCTCTCTCTCTCTCTCTCTCTCTATATATATATATATAGTTTGGTTGCTTAGAGGAAATGGGTTTTTCTTTTTCTTCTTTTTCGGGGAAAGCAAATGAATGTTTAGTGATTCATGTTCACCATCCATCTACACAGCCTAAGCAAAATGTTTTATTTTTTTTCCCCTGCTGTTTGTTGGAATCAAATGGATGTTCGTTCATTGATTGATTCTGGAACACTGGTTAAGAAGTACTTGTTAATCTGAACTCAACCAAAGCAACTGGAATCGGACGATTTGAAAATTTTCTTTTACTTCTGTTTATGGGAAATTATACCGATTGATTGTGGAAAAGTGGTTGAAGAATTTTGGACAAATTGAAATAGGTTTGAGAGAGAGAAAGCTCGAAAGCTTGCAGCTCATCATCGCGCTGTTCTTAGAATTGAGAGTCAAATTGCGGAGCATTCCAGAAAGCTGCAAGAGATACAGCTTCGGTCAGTGGAGGAGACTGAGAAAATGAAGGCAACGGGTGCAGAACTATCAAACTTGCGCAAAGTTAGGTAATAATATTGATAATGTTAAATCAAATTTTCAAATGTTCTTTCATTCTTCTCTTTGCAGACTATCTTTTTATGCAACTTTAATCATTTTTCCACATGTAAGGTACTTGTTGACTATAACCCAAAACGAATCAAACCAAAGGAAGCCTTGTGTCCTAATTAGGTTGGGTCAGCTATATGTTCCATGCTTTAAGAGATTTGGTGCTTGTTGAGCGACCGTAAACAATTCAGGAGCCATGTTCCTGGGAAGTCAGTGCTATCCCATTTAGGACAAGGCTTATTTAAAAAAAAAATGTCCATTCTATTCTTGAATTTTTTGTGCTAGCTAAATTGTATAGAATTGGAGTTACAATTGACTTTAATGCCTATCTTGTGTTCCAATGTGAACCTTTTGGTTAATGACTCTGATTGTTTATAATTCTCTAAATCTAATCATATAGATACTTCGGTAATTGCAAATTTGATTGAATCTCTACCAAATTCTTTTTCCCTAGTATTCTTAGTACTTTGTTAGTTTAGAACAATTTGGAACTTTTCAGCTTAATTGCAAGATCTTCTGATTGGTTTGATCCTATCAGGCAAGCTTCAGTGGCCTTAAATGTGTGGCAGCCAGAGGTTGTTCGGGGTAGGCATAAACAAATAGTTGAGCAATGTGTTGTACCTGCTGACTCTCGAATCCATGCACTTGAGAGGGAACTAAGGCTCTGCAAGCAGCTAATTACTGGTCTTGATAAGGCTTACGTTAGTGAAATTCCTAAATACATGCCATTGGGCTTCATTTTGGGTTTGATGGAAAATGGTACAAAATATTTATGATGTTTATTTATGTAACGTGGCAGAGAGATGAGAAGAGAAGGCTTAATGCAGCAAAGGAACAGTTGGCATCCGTAAAGTATCACCCCGTGCGAGATTACAGCTCGACTAGTGGCAGGGTTGATGAATGTTATATTAAGAGGAAGAAGTTGAAAAAGGAACACATCGACTGTAAGTTTTGATTTCCTTATCAATTTATTTTAGTTCTTGATATGCGGTTTCCTTCTCTGTTTATATACAGTAAATTTCATGAGTCACTAGAACAATCTGTTGCATTTTCCGTACCATTCTCTCTCTCTCTCTCTCTCTCTGTTTGCAAGCTTAACTTTCTTTTTCTTTTTTTTGGGTATGTAAAAATAATGAAGAAGACACTGAATGGGCTGCCACCTGAGTACAAAAGTATATTGACAAAAAGCAACAAAGCCCTATATGCATGAAGCAAAAGGACCCTACAAAATCCTAATTATGTTCTGTTCTGTGGTCAGGTTGATGATACCCCAAAATTCTCATAAATTTACTGTTTAAACTAAAAGAAGTCTACATCAAATGACCTTCCCATTCATTGTCCCCAAGTAATCCACATAACCCAAAGAACTGCCAAATTCCAAGCCTTCTTACTCTTTCTCACTTCCAATTATGAATAGAGTTAGTCAATGATGAAGGCAATCTTAACTTTATGACTTGATTTGCTTTGTTTTAAAGTCTTACCTACCCCCTCCCCTACTCTTTTCCAGAGTTGTGTGTTTGCAAAATGGAATCCTGAGTTGTATTCTAAGTTGTTGCTTGTCTTCCAAAGGTTCATAATTATGCTTGCACTATTTAACACCTTGCATCCCATGACCTGAGACCTTGAATGGGGTAAGGGATAGGGATGGGTCAAAAATTAAATTAGTCAAAGGAGTGCAAAAAGGTCTCCAAAGGGTTGGATCAAGTCGAAGGGTCAAAGGTGGAAAGTCAATAAGGTGAGGCAGTCGCTCGAGCGGACTAACTGTAGACTCGACTTTCTTCGCGCGCCCCCTTTCAGAGAGCTCGAATTGGTCCTACAGTTCGGATTCCTGTTACGGTTCTGAATTTAATCTCACAAAGTGCAATGTGAGACCGATAAACACCAAAGAGTCCAAATTCGGCAAATTATTTTGAAAAATCGATTTTGAATCAAAAAGCGCCAAACATGGACTGCTTTGCCAGATTACAGAGTCGCCACTTAAATATTTTGTTTTTGGGAAATTTAGGAAACCCTGACTTGTGCCAAAGGCCACGTGTCCATCATCACCAAAGTTGCCTCGGCTCGGGAACTTAGGTGCCTCGGCTCGGGAACTTGGGTACGAGAGAGGAAGATCCTGAAATGAGCATCCCCACTCGCCCGATCAAAGTATCGGCCTCTACTAAGCATGATATGTTGTTTGATAAGCACATGTGTTCTTATTCTGATTATTAGCTAGCTTTACTATGTGACGCACACAAAGCAAGTATAGACTAGATCGCAAGAATTGAAACAAATCAACTCGTGTTTGTTTTCAAAAATAGTTTGAAAGTGCCACTCGTAAGTGGGCTAAAGCGCGGATTTTCCACCCTCAAGTGGGCTTAAAACATAATTTTGCCACTTCGCAAAGCGGGCTTAAAACTCACATTTATCGAATTGTCCCAATTCAAGCAACAAAGCCTTTACCCACAGGCATTCAAGCAGTTTAGCAAGTAAGCAAATAGCCTCATGACAAGTATGCTATCATGGCAACACTCACACTCATGCAAGCGTGCTAAAGTGTAAAACTTACAGTGTACTCCAAGCTAAAACAAAAGTTAGTTAGAAACAATGTATGATCCTAACTATACAAGATGCCTAATGCAACACATGCAACATGAAATTAATAGGCTCGGCTACTAATATGGCATATGAATGGAACAACTTGATAACATGACATATTCAAGGAAGTGTATTGAAATACAATGCAGTTTGAATGATGCGCCAAGCCCGGTGCATGCAAGACAAATGAATGATGTAAACATGCAAGCATAAGGTATGCTAATCAAAACGTGCCCTAAACTAACCATCGAAAGCGGTTAAGTAAAAGGGAGAAAGAAGTGGGATTGGAAGACATGTACACACGCACGCACGCACCCTTATTACAACATTGTGTCCTCGCGAAGGAGGGTCCGAATAAATAAGTTAAGCTAAACTAATTATTACAACACAAAACGAAACTAATTAAGTATTCTAGCTAATTAATTATTACAAACCGAATTGAATAACTAGCTATGTTAAGCTAATTAAAATATTACAAAACAGATTAAACTAATTAATTACAACACTTGTATTAATTAGTTACAATTAACTAATAAAACAATTAAAGTGGCCTCGCGGGCGAGGGGGACATGCATGCTCGGTTGGCTTCCTCCCAAAAATTCATCGCCTTGCCAAAGGTTGCCTCTGTTTGCACTCGCCGTGATTTCTGAAAATTGCACCAACTTCCAGACTGCTTCTGATCCAAAACAGGAACACTTTTGCACAAAAATGGATTGGTGGCCGGTCGGCCACAGAAGGTGGCTGCCGGCCACCTTAACTGGCTGGTCGGCTAGTATAAGTGGCTGGTCGGCCACCCCTTTTTCCAGGCTTTTGGTTTTGCGGCAACAGAGAACAACAGAGGCAAAGCAATGCATTTTTCAAGGAATGTGTCTACTGTCACCTTCCTTATCATTTCTCAAGCTCAAAGGAGTATGGCACTTGGCTCTCAAGCCATCAACCAAGCATTTTCATGCATGATGGTCAAAGAACCAAGCTTGTATAAGCTTAATGAATGCACAGATAGACTCAAAGGGCCACCACCCTATCATGCATGATCAAGGGTGACGGCGACCGAGAAACGTGGCACGTTTCATCACTTTGAGTATGAAACGTCTTCCATTTCTCGTGTTTGGATTAACGTCCGATCCAAACATATACAATGCAACACAAACATGCTTATTATCTTGCTCAAGTTTTACTTGTCGTGTTTTATTTACTCATTTTAGATTACCGATTAGTCCTTTAACCGATTAAGTCCAAAGTGAGAGTCCTCTAATTGGAAAGAGGGTCTAAGCCACAAGAGCCTTGAGCATAAAAGAGACCTCATGCTGTTGGTTAGTAGAAACCTTCAAGAGATGATTAAAACCATTAGGCATGAGAGTCTCAATTTCATACTCAAGCCAACAAGGGGCTCAAAGCCACTTTCAAAACAAATTGAAAAGTGAAGAATAGGGGGAGGTTGCAGACTTTTCAGTGCTGATATGGCATGCAAAATGACACTAAATCATGCAAGCAACACATGCACAACATGCTACGAGCCAAAAGCATCAAAACTAGTGAAGAGTGCAACACTATAAGCATGCAACACTAAGTTCAATTGACCAAACCAGCTCTGGACAGAGTTGAAACATACCAAAAAAGTGGCTAAAACATGCTGAGATAGAAGCATAAAAGGTTAGAAAAACATGCTCACATGTTAGCTCGGAAATGAGACTCAAGACACAACTTTCAAAAGCAATGAAAGAGTGAAAAAAATGAGCATGTGACAGAGATTATGATGCTGAAATTACATGCAAAATGATGCTACAACATCTACTCAAACACTTCATGCTCGAAGCCTCAAAACAATGGACTTGTGAAGACCGTTACACTATAGCCATGCAAAACAAGCCTCGAAGGACTTAACCAACCCAAAACAGAGTTAAAGTAGGTCAAAATAGTAGCTAAAACAAGCTGGATTTAAGTTAACACAAGCTAGAAAAATAGGCTAACTCATTAGGCATGCTAGTCTAGTAAGCACAATTGCACTACAAGTACAAAAAGCAAGCAACAGGTGCACTAACCAACCAAAAACAGAGTTGAAACATGCCAAAACAGAGCCTAAATCATGCTTGAAATAAGCTAACACAAACCACAAAAACATGCTACTAGGTAATGCTAACTAGGCATGGAAGAGAGACACACGGAGGGGAGGCCAACCCCTCCATTTTTGGACTTCAAAACATACCTTTTACCACTGAAATAATTCTGAATTTTAGTGGTTTAAAGGCCCAAAAAGTTTGACTTTTACATGCTAAAAGATGAGGCAAAGGCTGATACAAATATGCAACAAAGAAGGGTTGACAACCCCTTAGCACCAAATGGCTTCAATCCAACATGTTTAGGCCCAAAAATCAGAACTTTTTGTAGTTGAAAACTAAGCTCAAAATAGCATAAAAAGATGGTAAGACAAGAGTGTACAAAGAGCTTAAATGAGGTAAGTCTTATACCTTTGAAGCACAACACTTAAACAACCACTTTCTAGGCTCAAATGACCTTCCAACAGCCCAAAATAAGTCCCAAGATGCCTCAGCTCTAAGGTGGTCCAATTTGGTTCAGGGGTTGTATGCAAATACGTAGAGAATTATAACTTTTAAGCATAAACAAGAGAAGAGAGAGAGAATTGTAGAGAGAGAGAGAATTGTAGAGAGAGAGGTTCTAGAGAGAGAGGCTCCCAAACTTTTCTTCCTCAAATGTTCTAACCTTCTAAACTATAGAGAATGGCCTCCATATATAGCAAAATACAAGCTCAGGTCGAAATATCTGAATTAGGACAACTGGCACATTGTGAAAACAGCTGAAGGGGAAATGCAAAATATCTGAGTTTTGGACACAAGTGGCCGACCGACCACCTTTAGTAGCCGACCGGCCACTCAAAGTGGCCGGCAACCCACTTTTCTGGCCGACCGGCCACCTCTGTTGGCCGACAGCAAAAATCTGCTTTCCAGGTCCAACTTTAAATGGGCATATCTCCTTCGTCTGGATTCATTTTCAGGTCATTTTTGTGCCTAAATTGAAGCCCCAGAAGTTTTCTTTCCAATGGTGGCAGTCTTACATCGAAATTCCAAGTATGCTAAGAGATATCCCTCTTTTAGTGAAGACTGCTCAGTTTCAGTCCAACTGGATTCATGTCTAACTTCTCCGCAGCTAGTTTTCTTCCCTCCTCTTCGCTTTTCTTCAACCCCAAACCCCTAAATAAGGTGTTTTGAAAGATTTTTCAAAGATTTCACCTCTCTTTTATTCATTTTCACTTTGTCCTTGCTCAGTTTACCGAAAAGCGCAACATTTAACGAAATACAAGCCTCGAAACATCGTGGAATCATTTTTCAAAAATATTTTGAAAGAGAGG